ACCATGTTTACACTTTCTGGTACAATTCTTCTGATACAGATGTAGCTACATACACCTTTGATTATTGTGACATAGTTACCTGTACATTCCCACAGACACAACATGCAGCCATATACAAGGACATACCTAACAAAAAGGACCCATACATTTGTGTGACTGGAGGAGCTTGGGGACACCACTGTAGTTCATGGAAAGCTGCCGGGTGGAATACAGGTAGACCATGGGGCTACAGACCTCAGGTTGCACTGGACAGACTTGACAAAGTTGGGAAGCCCCTACTCTCTAGAATGACTCTTAGTAAACCCACAGGGTCAACTCCCATCAAACTTACCTTGAATATAGAACACCCTAGTCCAAGGGACGCGGGGGAATATGTGATGGGGATGTACTGGAAGGGAGGTGGCTCACACAATGCACTGGGGACATTCTACCTACAAGACATGCTCACCTCCCCAGACTGGGTAGGGACCACTCACATGATCGTTAACCCATTAAAACCACATATTAAGACCCTACATGACATGGTAGCTATAGCCAACCCCACCTTTGAAGACACTATGGCAGTGGAAACTGGTTTCTCAGATACTAATTTATGGCTGGAATGGATGAGGTATAATGCCAACTCACACAATAAGACCAATTGTTATGTGTGTGGAGGAGCCAGACCCCATCTGGGCACAGTTCCTCTGAATTTGCCTCCTGAAGTAGAGTCATGTGTTCTGAGCCTTTACACACAGTCTGTCACCAATTCCTCGACATGTGAATCATGGAAGAGAATTTACCCGATCACTCACGGACATGTAAAACCACCTGATGGAGTCACCATCTACCTAGGTAATTACACATGTTATACAATATCTAAAAACACCGGTTTGTATCTGGGCAAATTCCCATCAGGATATTGCTCAACTTACCATAATCCACCCGTATCACTGCTAATGAACCACACAAAGACAATCGGTGATATCTATTGGTTATGTGGGGATAAACAATTGAGGTCCCAATTAATTGGACAATGGTGGGGGGAGTGTGCCCTAACTAAAGTCATAATGCCTATCCATATCATTCCAGATGGTGACCATAACACATTAAATCTCACACATGTACACTCTAGAACTAAACGAGAGACTCCTATTCGAGGGAGCTTCGACCCCCATGTGTATATTGATGCCATAGGTGTGCCAAGGGGGGTGCCTAACGAATTCAAAGCGAGAGATGAAGTGGCTGCAGGATTTGAGTCCCTAATCCCAATGATAACTGCTAACAAAAATGTCAATTGGATTAATTACATTTACTATAATCAACAGCGTTTCGTCAACTACACTAGGGATGCCCTACAGGGCCTGGCAGAACAATTACAAGCCACTACCCAAATGACATTTCAGAACAGAATGGCCCTAGATATGATTTTAGCTGAGAAGGGGGGTGTATGTAAAATCCTCCCTGAGACCATGACATGCTGTACATACATTCCAGACAACACTGGGCCCAATGGTAAGGTGACTATGGCCATAGAGAAGCTAGATAGTCTTGCAGATGAGCTAAAGAAAAATTCAGGAGTCATCGACACTTGGGACAGATGGTTTGGATGGATGAATGGTTGGCAAAGGACCCTCTTCCAGGTGGGGACAGCTGTTCTTATAATGATCGTCATTTTCTTGTTTCTGACCTGTTGTATATTCCCCTGCATACAGAAGTATCTACAGAAAGCGGTAGACAAGACTATAGATGACGTGACCCCTACTTTCATACACCAAGACATCACAGACCTCGAAGATGATACTCCACATACACCCCTTCAATCACATCAGTTCAAACAAACAACTGCTTTCCTGTAGGGACAGTATAGGGAAAGCGTCTGTCTTGACTGGCGAGTCTCACGTGTGGAGATGTAGTGGACTAGCCACTGCGGGTTACCCGCGGAGTGAAGTGTTCGATGCTGGTTAAGGCAGATAGGTTGCAGGCAACTAGGGACATATTAGGGACAGTAGCAGTTGTTATGGTAAATAGCCATTTTAGGGGGGACTGTTGTGGAAATAAGGTCTACACATATTTCCTAGTTAGTGAAAAATGTCTATTTACTCATTTCACGATATATATATATGTAGCTAAGCACACATGTTATAATCAAAATGGCTGCTAGAAGCTTCTAGCTCCTTCCCCCTCCCCTCCCTTCTTTCTTCCTAACATTGACTAACTACCTCGTGCACCAAGATGGCGCCGGGAAACCGTGGGAGACCCTCATGGCCCCGGTGACATCACCTACAGTAGGCAGAGCATTGAAGCGACCACTTAACACCTAACCAATTATTGATGTATTATTCCATGTTATCTCTGACAATGCTTATGATGTAATTTTGCTTTAAAAGGGACCTGCCGTCCCCTCTGAATAAACATTCCTCAAGTTATTCAACAACCTGGAACCTGTGTCTGGTGTGAATTACTTCAGGGAGCGTGCACGCATTGTTTCATTGATTTGGCCAGGGGCAGATACACAAAGAAATAATCAATACTTTAATTGATTTTTCCATTTCAGCCTGTTACAATACAAAGCGACTCAAGCAAAAATGGCCTAGGATGTTGTCTATTGCAAGTTACAATTCTTCAATGTATCAGGAGTGGACAGAAATGAACCACTGTGAGCAGGGCTATGGTATAATAGTTTAATAATAAACTACGTTTTTTTAGTTTTGTGTGTGAAATACACATTGTTCCAGAAAATATTTTTTGAGAAAACGAGGGACTACATTCAAAAGATTTATGACTCTATTATTGGTTTGCTTAATTCACAGCAGACTATGAAATTTCGGTAGAATAACCTAAATTACTGACAGTTTGATGTCCCCATGAGTTGTCAGATTGTCTACTGACATTAGTTAGCCTTAGTATTAATGCACCGGCCTGCCGATATTTAGCCTTTACCACGTCTGTAACAATTATCTGTCCACGGTAACTATGTAACAAATGCAGCTGATAGATGTAAGGTAAAAGTATCCAAATGATAGTGCCAAAGTCCGCTTGTAAATACATTAGTAGCTAGCTGCTGAAAATATATGTATCAGTCTACTGCTGTACAGTCTTAGATTAAATTATGAATAGTTGCAGACTATAGAGCTGTTAGACTATATGTTTATTTTATCTTATTTTTCCTCTTTAGTCTAGCAGCTCTATAGTCTGCAACTATTCATAATTTAACCTAAGACTGTACAGCAGTAGACTGATACATATATTTTCAGCAGCTAGCTACTAATGTATTTACAAGCGGATTTTGGCACTATCATTTGGATACTTTTACCTTACATCTATTAGCTGCATTTGTTACATAGTTACCGTGGAAGATAATTGTTACAGACGTGGTAAAGGCTAATGTCAGTAGACAATCTGACAACTCATGGGGACATCAAACTGTCAGTAATTTAGGTTATTCTACCGAAATTGCATAGTCTGCTGTGAATTAAGCAAACCAATAATAGAGTCATACATCTTTTGAATGTAGTCCCTCATTTTCTCAAAAATTCTTTTCTGGAACAATGTGTATTTCACACACAAAACTAAAAAAACGTGGTTTATTATTAAACTATTATACCATAGCCCTGCTCACAGTGGTTCATTTCTGTCCACTCCGGTTACATTGAAGAATTATTTAAAAAAAAGTTTCACCTAGAATTGTACTCCAGCTGCACCTGTCAGTATTAAACTGCAGATAGTAGTGACAAAACTCATTACAAGATGATTTCTGGACATTACAATTTATATAATTTAGATTTTATGTTATTCACTCTAATTTTTCTTAATGTAGTTTTTGCGTGATAGTGTGTTTCTATTATTGCCCCTACATGAAAGTTTTTTTTAGCTATTATATTAAAAGGGAAGTTTTATCTTATACATTTCAGTATCTAGTATACCATCTAAGCGATTCCCTGGTTTCTTAATCATTTAGTACTGCTACCTCCAACTTCTCTCTTTTCTTTTCTATTCATTTTTTTAGGATAACTTCAAGGAACAGTGTGTGCTGAACTAACGTTACACTGGGTCCAGGCAAGGACTTAACTACTTGCTGTCCAGAATCTGGTTTAAATAACTGGTAGTTGTGAATACAGGATGGGAAGATCAGAGGCTAGCCTCTACTATAATGACACAGGCTTGAGAAACAGCACTGACTGCACTAAAAATAAATACATTAATTAATAATAATAATAATAGTTATAAAACAACTCAAATCTTGCCACTCTAGGTCATATATATCTTAGCTAAGCATGATGTAGTAATTCACCAAACAAGTGATGGGAATAATATATTCACAGTGCTGCTGCCTTATTCAATGTTCAGAAAATATCCTATAGATGTAACTAAGCATAGGATGTAAACAGGTACAACTTGCAATAAATGTTTTCATTTCAAGAATTAGCAGACAAATAGTCTTTATAAATTTGTGTAATGTATATTTCAATCTAGGGAACCTATCAACAATTAACTTCAATGATAAAACAAACATTTTATTTAGACATAATTTAAGTCTAAATGAGAGGGACTTTTTCTATATAACATTTAGAATTATGATTATAATCTTGGCATGTAATAGTTTAGCAATTCTATCATTTCATTTTTGTTTTTGCATAATTTATAGTGGTGGCTTTACTCTTTATTTTCCATTTATTTAAGAAATAAAGAAGTCTAGTTTGCTCTTCCATACAAAATAAAATGTGCCCATCTGCTCCCACAATTTGCACACACTATTTTAAAATGTCTGAAAAATAATTTTATTGTTATTAATTGCTGAGTGGGTGAGTCAGTGGTTTAAATAAATGTAAATACTCTTGTACATTTCCAAGCCCGTCCATCTGTGTTAGATACAGTTTCTATCTGTGCTTCCATCTGTTTTGGTCCCACATCAGGGACCTGTACATGCCTTGTCCATCTGTGTATCTGGACATTGTCTGCTCTCAGCATGCCTATTTGCTTGTATGACCCTTTGATACCCTGCCATTTATCTTTTGCCTGTAGACTTTCGCCTGTGTGATTAACATGGTGGACATCTAGCAAGCCTTCATCATCATTATAAAGAACTGCTTAGTACAAGGACCTATCATTGCAAAGGCGTTGCAGAAAGATTCAAGGAGATTTGCTAACATGCCTAATTAATTTATCGTTAAGAACATGATGACATTACCTGTCTGATAACTAGAAATATGATGAGCTTTGGAACACTGTCAACCCCATCTCATCAAACGTGAAATACTGTCTATGAGCCATTTCTATTCAACCTATGTTTAGTGCAGAATACCTTTCTCTGCTTTCTTCATAGGAAATTTACTCAATAGATTATACAAGTATAAAAAAACTGAATTTTTCAAAATGCCAAAGTTGAGATATTTGCTGTACTGTAAATAAAGATTTGATGAATTCCAGGATTTTAAGGGCATTGTGTATTTCCATGCTCATATACGGAAATAAAACAAGCTACGAAATGAGTGTCCTATAACTGAGCTTTATATTAAATAAAAAAATTATTGTCAATTCGATTTTGCATGTAGGCATGTGGTTAACATAATCAAGATGGAAAAGGTCTGCACTTTTATTGGTTATCTCACAATATGTCACTATACCAGATCACAATACTATATAATCTAGATTATAAAACACACATTTATTTGCATGTTTGCAAATCAGAAATGAATGTAATCCTATGGCATGATAATAAACAAAACAGCGAGCTGTGCTGACTCGAGAACCATCCTGCAAAATTTAGAAAATAGCAGAATTGGGATAAATCTCCATTTCTTTTAAATAATAATTTATTTATTTTTTACAAATCAATTGAAGCAAATAAAAGTTAATAAGCATGTCAACAGCTGATCTAAGAAGAAATCAGGTTACTTTATTTTCGATTAAAGGATGTCTTTATCCCCTTTGTGGCACATTTCAGTCACTTAAAATTTGATAATTTCTTACCTTTTCACTGGTCTAAATAGATAAATTATATATGGTAAGGATATTAGAAATAAAACTTTTTTAATATGATAAGGGCATTGTTAAAGTTGGCATTTAAAAAAAACATAAAAAAATTCAGTTCAAAGACTAAGGATAAAATAATAAACATAAGAATCAGCAATTATCTTAATTTGGTTGACTGTAGTTGTATCTCTAGTTAAGCCAAGCCCTAACATTTTGGTAGATTAGTAAAGTATAAGATTATATTTTTGTAACAGACTATGACCCTTTGACACAATATATTGGTTTTATTGGTTATCTCGCAATATGTCACAATATCACAATTGTGACAAACAATAAATTTATTTTCTCACCCCTCCTGGGTGGTATTTTTATTCCTCATTCTCAAGTTCTCTACCAGAGGCCTGGAAGTTTTAGGGTTCTGTGCAGTATCTTAGCTGTTCCTAGAACTGCACTCTTCTGGACAGTGATCTCAGATGTCCCACCTGGAATCTGTTGAAGCCACTCCCCCAACTTTGGAGTCACAGCCCTGAGTGCTCCTATCACAACTGGGACTACTACTACCATCACTTTCCACATCCTTTCTAGTTCCCTTTTCAGTCCTTGGTATTTGTCCATCTTCTCATGTTCCTTCTTCCTGATGTTATATTCACTGGGTATTGCCACATTCACCACGGCTGCAGTCTTTAGTTCCTTGTCTACCACCACGATGTCTGGTTGGTTGGCCAGCACTTGCTTGTCTGTCTGGATCTTGAAGTCCCACAGGATCTTAGCCCTGTCATTCTCAAGTACCCTTGGTGGTATCTCCCATCTGGATTTAGGCAGGTCCAATCCATATTCTGTGCAGATGTTTCGGTACACAATCCCAGCAATTTGGTTGTGTCTCTCTCCGTCTATGCTGTTCCTGCTAACATCTTGCATCTGGCTACTAGGTGCTGGACTGTCTCAGAGGCCTCTTTACACAGTCTGCACCTTGGGACTTGCCTGGTGTGGTAGACTCCAGCTTCTATTGACCTTTGTGCTGAGTGCCTGTTCCTGTGCTGCTAGGATTAGTGCCTCAGTACTGTCTTTCAGTCCTGCCTTTTCCAACCACTGGTAGGATTTTGTCATGTGAGCCACATCCACTATCTGATGGTGGTACACCCCATGGAGAGGTTTGTCTTGTCAAGGAACCTCCTATTTTTCTGCATCCTCGATCTGTGGAAGTCTCAGGCATTGCCTTAGCAGTTCATCTTTGGGAGCCATTTTCGTAATGTACTTGTGGATGCACTGTGTTTCATCCAGGACTGTGGCCTTGACACTCATCAGGCCCCAACCTCCTTCCTTCAGGCAGGTGTACAGTCTCTGGGTGCTGGATTTCATGTGGAATCCTCTATTCATAGTTGGTAGTTTCCTGGTCTTGACCCCCATGGTGACTAGTTCTTCTCTTGGCCAGGTTATTATTCCAGCTGTGTAACTGATGAACCTGGATCTTGTTCTTGCCATTGAGCTGGGACTTCAGGACCTGTCTTTGGAGGTACTTGGATGTTGCTATCCTCCTTGCCTCTTCCTCATGGTTGCCATGCATTTGTGGTTTGTGGTGTATATATATATATATATATATATATATATATATATGTATATATATATATATATATATATATATATATATGTGTATATAATCTAGTAGAATGGCTGCACTCACGGATTTTCCAATAAAAATTAACTTTTATTCAAATTCCCATAAAATAGATCGACGTTTCAGTCCAGCCTGTGGACTTTCATCAGGATTGAAAGTCCACAGGCTGGACTGAAACGTCGATCTATTTTATGGGAATTTGAATAAAAGTTAATTTTTACTGGAAAATCAGTGAGTGCAGCCATTCTGTTTGATTATATGGATGTCTAAGCCCTGGTTATGCACCCGGTTTGGGAAAACTAGGAGCCTGTGTGCAAGGTACAGTTTGATTTATATATATATATATATATATATATATATATATATATATAGAGCTATCAGGCAACCGTCTTCCATTTCTTTATGTTCCAGTTCTGACATTCACATTTCTATTAAAGGTTTTCACAGCTTTCAGCAGTGGATCTTTCTATCATGGCCAGAATTTTAGCGCTTCAGCAATTTGAGCTACAGTAGCTTTTCTGTGTCATAGGACCAAATGAGTTAGCCTTCACACTCCACCCAAAGCTGTGATGTCGGTTGACCAATTGTCGTTCCTTGCACCACTTTTGGTAGATACTAATACTGCATATTGGGAACATACCACAAAACTTGCCATTTTGGAGATGCTTTGACCCAAAGTCACTCATATATTTTTGCTTGCCCATTTTTGCTGCTTCTAACACATGAAATTCAAGAACTGACTGATCACTTGCTGCCTAATATATCCCACCCATTGACAGGTGCCATTTTAATGGTATAATCAATGTTATTCACTTCACCCGTCAGTGTTATTCATGTTGTGGCTGATCAGTGTATGTAAATATATATATTGTGTATTGTGTAATTGTGTCTACTGTTACCACAAATAAATGGAATTTTTAACTCTAATATTTGTATAGACGAATACATGGTCTTTTGACTTCCTCTTTTTATTTTAGCCCTTGAAATTTGGAAAGTTCATTCAAAATAAATCACTTCTCATTTAATATGGACTTCGAACTGAGCTCTCTGTTCAGAAATATAACAACCTTTCAGATTTGACATGTGTTTCACAAATTAATCAGATGAAGAACTTGAATGCTCATATGGTCAAGCTGGGGAGATCGTGATGTAGAAATAATAGGCCTTGACAGTAACATTTATTCTATTTTCTGGTTATTGAAAGGTGCTGCCTTTCCATTTATAGCTGCACGGTTTAATGAGACCATTATGTGATAAATTTAGATCACTGTTCATGGAATAATATAGCGTAAGAGAGAATTCTTAAAACCATTCCAGGTTATACAAAAGATCACATTTATCAATGTAAATGTTAGCAATTTGGGGACAAAGTGTTATGAAGCAATCACAAATGAACTGAATTCTTTTTGCGTAATTAGCACTTTGCCCCACATTTTGAGGCATCCTGTCTGGATGAATTTCCAATTTTTTATTGCACAACATGTGCAACTAAATTAGCACCTTATCTTAAATCCTCTTTTACAACATAAAAGACAAAGGTCTGATCCCACCAGAGATGTTGGAAACCAACATTGTGACTCTCCCAAAACCTGGCAAACTACCAATAAACCCATCTAAATGCTTAACATTAAATTGTATTCCAAAATATTTTCCACTAACTTAACCAGCTATTGCCTAAGCTAATCTCCCCAGCGCATATAGAAAAGCTTTCTGCTTTTCCCCTGGCATAGGGATTCCTGATTGTGTTGCTTATTGTATTTATATTGTTTTTAATTGTTTGGTCATGTACACAGGGCTAAACGTGTAGGACTTCTAGCCATTTTATTTTTTGTCAATCTCTTTTTTTATTGAGGCATAAAATTGTATGGGGTACAGAATGAGAAAGGGGAGACGATAAAGTTTCATACAAGACGGGTATAATACAATGCAGTTTTTATCATCTCTGAGTAACTGTTAGCCTCATTTTATATTAAGAAGAGTAAAACAAAGCAGGTACGTTATGCTATAAATCAGTGCTCTATCTTGCAAGACGTTCTAAATGAAACATTTAGTTGATAAACTACGCTTTTTCATTATTCTAATAATTAGCAAATTTTTAGAACTGCCTCTTCATATATTAGATGAGATCACAAAATTATGAACTTTAGAGAAGCTTAACATGCCACCAGACCGCATCAGGCGTTAAGGTAAAATATAGGTACAGTCAAGCAGTATACAGTTTGTGCAGTCAAGGTAGCTTAAACGATTATAGGCAAGAAACATGTGAGTGTACTATATTAAGTTCTCTATTATATCAAGGATCAGCAGTGGTAACTGTTGTTTGTGATTAGTCCCATTATGGCGTTTCGGCTTTAGCCAGCAAACTCGAGTTCAGCCTATTCCCAAAGATGGGAAGCGTGGGTCTTGTGTGTTGAGGGTGTTGGTGGCTTCTGCGCTCTGACGGCTCCGTTGGGCATTCCTCCAGTCCCAGGCCGGCTGACAGGCCAGCATCTTCGTGCAATGGACTTGGGGGCTCTTGTGGTCCCAGTGCTCCCCTCTGGGGGGTAAGCAGGACGTTGTGATGGTAAGTGGCCGCTTGTAGCGGGTGATCCTCTGACTGTGTGGACGATGCCGCAGGGTTCTACCCAGGGGCGTTTTAGCCGCGAG